CAAAGCGGGAGGTGGCTCTTCCGGCTGAAGCATTCCGTTCTGGCCCGGGGCCATGCTTACTGTTGAGCATTCGCTTTCATTATGGGTGTTTTGGTTAATCGTTCTCGAGAAGTGTAGTAGCATGTAGTAGCCTTTTTTTGCGAATGTTGTGGTTGTCTAAGCGGGGGGGGGGGGGGGGGAGGGGCAGAGCTGTTGAGAGTAGCGTCGCTTGTCATCTCAGCAGGCTTCAGACGGCTACTCAGGCTAGTCATGGGTGTCGGCTGACCTCTTCGGAGCCTTACTCTGTACCTGTTTGTGTTGGAGGCTGTGCAGCTCAAGTGCCCTGCTGCTGAGAAAGAGGCTGGGGGGGTGCAAGAATCCACGGGGCCTGGAGATTCTGTTGAGCCTTGGCCTCGGTCGTTGAGGTCACCTTTGTCCGTTTTCCGTTGTTGAGCTATGCCCCCTGTGCTCGGATCCTGAGCGGTTCATTCAGCACACTGACCTCCCTCATCCCCCGTTGATAGCCAGTGTAACCCCTGCATCCCTCGCGCCCCCAAATTGCAGGACCTGCTCTACCTCGACAAGAATGCAGATGTCGGCGTCAGCTGGCGCCGTGCGGGGTGCCTGGCTTGGAATCGAGGGCTCAAGCTTTTTTGAGTGCTCTAGGCTGGTAAGGGCTTAGGGCAGTTTATTCAAAAGAACAAGAAAGAAGTGTACCTATATTTGATTAGAAATTTTTCGAAAATGAAACCATATTACATATTGTGTATTCCATATGACATTCGCGCTCCCCTACGACCCTAAATGCGTTTGGCGGGCGTCGGCATCCTGTTGGGCCAACGTCTTACGTGTCGCGTTCATTCAGATGGGGTTGAGGGTCTTTAGGGCCGGTCCTTCGAAGTTCAGCCGTCTGGCCCCGGGACTCCCCGCACCCTAAGGCCCGACGGCAGAAAGGGGCTTTTCTCCCGCCCAAGTCAGGTTTCTGGAGCGCTTCGCTGAGGCCCGTGGGGGCCGGCCTTGGGGATACCACGCCTGGTTGCGGTTTGAGGGCTCTTTTTTTCCTTTCTTTGCAGGGAAGGGTTCTGGCCGCACCACTTGCAGAACAAACTAGAGATTTGGGCGAGCCAGGAGGCGAGCATCAGATGTGCACTGTTCTGGCCACACGGTGGCCACACGGGCCGCAGCTGATGCTCATGATGCTCGCCCCTGGCTTGTCAAATCGCCCCAATCGCTGGGGCAGTTTGTCCTGCAAACGTCCGGGCTTAGGGGCCCGTGTGGCCAGATCAGTACCCAGCTGATGCTCATGATGCTCGCCCCCTGGCTTGTGTCAAATCGCCCCAAACACTGGGACAGTTTGTCCTGCAAGCGTCCGGGGCTTAGGGGTCCTTGTGGCCAGAACAGTACCCAGCTGATGCTCATGATGCTCGCCCCTGGCTTGTCAAATCGTCCCAATCAATGGGGCAGTTTGTCCTGCAAGAATCCGGGGTAGGGGCCCCTCTATCAGGCGAGCGAGCATCAGCCGGGTCTGTTCTGGCCACACAGCCCCCTAAGCCACGGACGCTTGCACAACAAAACGCCCTAGTGATGATTGGGGCGTTTTGACGAGCCAGGAGGCGAGCATCATGAACATCAGCCGGGTACTGTTCTATCCACACCCAGTGCGGGGGGCGAGTACATGAGCATCAGCTGGGCACTGCCCCCCAAGCCCCGGACGCTTGCAGGACAAACTGCCCCAGTGATTGGGGCGATTTGACAAGACGGGGGGCGAGCATCATGAGCGTCAGCTGGGTACTGTTCTGGCCACGTGGCCTCCTTAGCCCCAGTTGACAGGGTGTAAGTTGGGGTGTTTGTTGGCAAGAACCCCTTCGCCCTTGGAACAGCAAGAGTCATACCCCAGTCGTTTCTGCACTCTCACAACACACCCCAAGAAGCCCTAAACCTTTGGAGCCTCCCAAAAGGCCCCCCGTGCTGGGTACACCTGGGATGTCGACCTGGACGTGCAGGTGCTGGGCTAAGCAACGCCCCTTGTGCATGGAGAGAAACACGTAACACGATAATTCCCGCAAAGCAGCTCCAAGTTTGTTCGTTTTCCTTGGTGCGGAAAACGGAAACATTTTTTCCGCTCTGTACTGCTCTTTCATGCAATCTCCTTACACGCTGTTGCATGTGATAGTTGGGGCTTGTTGGCATCGCTCGTTTCATCGTTGGATGTTAGTTGGAGCTGTTCTGGCCTCACCTCCAAGCCCACAACCCAAATCCAAAGTTCTCCTCCGGAACCCCGAGCTTAAGAAGCTGTCAAGAAGCCGTCAAGATCCCCAAGCCTTGCTGTACACCCTGAACCTGAAACCCCTCTCGCTCCAAGACCTTCTGGGACGCGGTCGCCAGCTGCCCAATGCCCTCACCATGGGTTTGGGGTTTAGGGTTTAGGGTTTAGTGTATGCCGCTTCTGAGTTTCAGGTTCTGGGCAACCCGGTTGTGGGATTTGCAGGACTTCGGGAGTTCCAGCAGTAGCTTCTAGCCTTCCCGGAGCAAGTCTGGAGCGCAGCGGCCTCTTGCAATCCCACATCCCCAAATCCTCAAGCAGTGAGAGAGTGAGAGAGCCCATGGGCTAAGAGGTCTCGTTGGCTTTCAGCTTCTAGACCCCCGTAAGCCCCAAATCGTCAAGTTGAAGCCATGCGGCTCCACAAACTTGAAAACCTTAGGCCTAAACTTGCTAGTTCTTAATAGGAGTTTGCCACCCTTTACCTTACGTACTCCTTTAAGGGTGCCTAATTCTCCCCCGAAGCCCTAAAACATATCCTTCCTTGCTTTGCTCCCTACTGAGAACCAGAAGTAGACCCCCTGCAGAGCAACGCGCTAAGGCGTCGACCAGCGCCTTCAAAGAGGCCCAAGAGGCACGGGAAGCCTCCACCCTGTTTGGGTTTCGGGTTCAGGGTTCAGGGTTTAAGGATCAAGGCTTGGGGTTATAGGGTCCAGAGTTTTGGGTTCAGGGTTTAGGGCTTGGGGTTATACAGTCGACAGTTGCGTGGTTGGGTTTCAGGATTTCTAGACTGCCCCCACTAAACCCAAAACTCCTAAACCCTAAGCCGCCCCAAAACCCCAAAACCCCTATTCAAACCCTAAGCGCCCTAACCCCCCCCCTTTTCGGAAAGTAGAGGAGAGCCTTGCCGGTCTTCAGGGCGACGTCATGCTGCGCAGGTCTCAAACTGCCAGCACTTCGTCCGGGAGTGCTTGGCAGAGCTCTCGCAGAGGCGGCCTGAGGGTTCAGGAGGGGGCCTCAGGGTCTTGGGATCTTCAGGTTTAGGGTTCAACGCATAGGAGTTTAGGGGCCCTCAGGGCTAGGATCTGAAGATTTCGGGTTCAAGGGTTTAGGGTTCAGGGGCCTTGGGGGTTCATGGTTTGGGGGCCGGCAGCTGGCAGTCAGGTAGGGTCCTTTCTCACTGGTATGTTTTCTGGTGAACGTATACTCCGCCTATACTCCTTAAATGTGCATGTGCCATAAGATCCCTTCTTCATGTGTGTGTTCAAGCATACGCCCTGCTTCCTGAACCCTAAGCCCCTAAGCCCCTAAGCCCCTAAGCCCCCAAGCCCCTAAGCCCCTAAGCCCCTAAGCCCCTAAGCCCCCAAAACCCTAAGCCCCAACTAAACCCACAACCCTAAACCCTAAACCCGAAACCCTCCTTCAAGCAAAGCTCTTGCAGGGGCCACCTCAAAGCAGCAGGCCGCTGGCTTGGAGAGGGGATGACCTCGGGTTTTGCGTGTAGGGCTGTAGGGACTCATTAGGGACTTCTGCATTTGCAGCAGGCCCTAAGCTAACTCCAAATCTGAGACTTCTCAATCCCGAATGCCCCCAGATTCCTCAGGCCCCTAAACCCCAACATAAAGATTGGCAAGCTCTTGACCTTGTAAGTCTAGGAGAGGCCGTCCTGACTTGAACCCTCAAACCCCGGCAGGTTCAGGCAGGGGCTTGTCCGTGGGGCCTTTGGAGGTGAAACTCTAAACCCAGTTATATAAGCCCAAAACCCTGAGGACAAAGCCTCAAAGCTGAGTGTATTGAGTGTTCAGGGTTTAGGGTTCGGGGTTTGTAGGAGTTCAGGATCTTTACAGCCCTCAACCCTAAGCTCTAGGCTTCAAACTCGAAGCCCTAGCCTACTCCCCCCCCTCCGCCTTCGAAACAAAAACGATGAAGTCAGAAGTCCGAACACCCGGCCGCCTCTGCCGAGACCTGTCCCTGCGAAACCAGGAGGCCAGTTCTGGGGTCTAGGGTCGAAGGTTTAGCGTACAAGGCCTTGAGGCTTCGAGATTTTAAGGCCTTAGGTTCTAGGAGCTTGTCTGTGCTTGGATTTAAGGAAGGTTCATCCAGGTGTCTTCTGGGGTTCGTTGGTGTTCCTTGATGTTATGGTGGGGGCTGAAGATGTGGTAGGGCTCAGGCATGGCCTAAACCCCAAAGACCTCAATGCAGGATCCCCCCCTCCAAATCGAAGCACCCGTGCACGTCACCACCCCCTTTGCTTTCCTCCTGGGCCAATGTGTTGAGCCCATCGATTCCTCCCGGCGCGTGGTCGCACTGCCAAGTTGCTGCTTCAGATTCTCGCACAGAAGCCATGATCCCAGCAGCCTGAAACAGGTGGCGGACTGGCTTCACAGCTGGGGCTACCTTGACGAGAACCGCAAGGCAGTGGCGCAAGTTGGGGCCGGTGCGAGGCTTTGATCCTCATCCCTCAACTCGCAGGCTGAAGGAATCTCAGGGAAGGGCCCGGAGCCTTGACTCCCTCAGTCCAAAACCCCCATATCCCGAAGCCGAGACCCTGAAGCCCCCGAACCCCCACTGCCGCGCCTCTGCAGACTTGGACCTCGGAGGGTGCAGGTCTTTGGAAGGGTCAAGGACATGGGCCCATGAGAGGCCGCACTAGGGCCAAAAACTTTGGTTTAGGTTCAGGGCAGGGAAGATGCAGTGCCCCCCCACCCGTCCCCCGTACCCCCAAAGTTGCCACAGCTTGGGCGCCGAGCCCCATGGCGCCATGGACCAGCTTCTTGCAACCATTGCCGAGCTGGATCGGGCGGCTATAGCTCAGGAGCCGGGGTGTGGGGCAAGCTGACAGAGAGCACCATATCTCCTGGTAGCCCGAGTCCCCAAGCCCTGAAGCCCTTTCCATCCGAACGCGCAGGAACGGCAGAATGCCGAGCTACAGTCCGCCCTGGATTTGAAGTCGCAGGAGCTCCTTAAGCACTTGGGCGTTGCAAGTTTAGGATTGGGGTTTGAGAAGACGGGTCCATAGGGAATTCAAGTGCCAGGGTGTTGGGGTTTCGCCTGCTGTGCGTACGACCGCGTTCCATGGCTTCATTCGTCTTGTTGCTTTCAGGGTTTCGGGAAATTAGGGTTTTAGGAGGCTGTTTGGCCACGTGGCAAGGCTTTGAGAAGGGTGTAAGGTAGGGGGGTAGAGCACTCAAAAGACCTGTGCGAGCAAGAGCTTCTGAGAACGCAAAGGGCAAACACACACACGTGCAAACCCATTACAAACAAATAAAAGGGATCCACTCCAAAATCTTGCAGCTGAATCCTCCTAAACCCTGACCCTGAACCCGTCCGTAGAGTAAGCCTCTGCACCCTTAAGGAAGGGACCCACACCCAATGACTCAGCTTCCCTTTTCTAAGAAGTCGCCCTCCTAAGTCCAAGGCTCCAACACGAGCTTGCGGCTCTGGAGCCGGAGCCAGGCCCAGTCACGGGGTGCAGCCGTCGAAGATGCAGGGGGTCTTGGGAGTTTTTGGGTTTAACTGACAGGTTCAGGGGCACTTCGGGTGTGGGGGTTTGGAGGCTGAAGGATGTCTCCTATTTCAAGTTTCAAGCCCGCGCAGACGACTGGGCGCCGCCTCCCCGGCGCTGCGCCCGCGCGGTCAGAGCAGTGCTGCGCCTGCTGGTGGCGCTGGGGGCCGTGCTGGTGCTCTGGGAGGCGGAGGCTCTCGGCTTTGAGGCTTAGGAAAAGTTGGGGGTTTAGGGTTTATAGGGTCTATAAGGTGTATTGGGTGTATGGGGGTTATGGGGTTTATCGGGTTCAGTGTTTAGGGTGGTAGCTGCGACCTTGGCTGTCATCGATCCCAGTGCGCGAAGCCGTCTGAGCCACCCTAGGCAAGAAAACCGTAAGCTGCCCGAAGCCCTAGAGCTGACACCTTGTTCTTCTGCATGAGCATCCCTATTATTAGGAAATAGTTGTTATCTTTATTGTGATGATCATCTCTTGATTTTTTTAAATATCTACAACGCCCAAGCCCGAAACCTGCAGGCAGACTGGCGCGCCGACGCGCCTTCCCGCGATGTCCCAGATGTGACGGTCCCTTTGCAGGGTTTCCTGCAGAGGGAGGCCCTGACTTCCAGCGCGGAAGAGGCCTTTGGGCTTGGGGGCCTCAAGGTTTTTGGGCGAGGGATGGGCTTAGGGTGGGGTTCAGGGTTGAAGTTTGTCAGTCCTCCGGAATCAGCAAGTTTCAACTTATCAGCCCGTAGTTTCCTTGTGGCCTGTTGTCGGGCACTGCCATGAAGCCTGCCGAGTCTCTCGTATCACTGTTGCGTGTGCATGCAGGACCACGCCCCGCAGAGTCCGCATCCGTCCTCGCAGATGGAACAGGCGCCCCGGACATGCATCGCGCCATGAGACTGCCGTCAGGTTTTTGTTGCAATTCAACCAGACTCTAACCAGACGGAGCCATTGTGCTTCAGGTGCAGGTGCTCCCGGAAGTGGAGCTACCGCAGAACAGCGAGAGCACGGAGCATGAGCAAGATGTGAAGCCACCGAAGGTGGAGAGTCTGACAGACAAGCAGAGAGTGGAGGAAGCTGCCCTGCCCAAAGGACATGCAGTGGAAAGCTCGGAGATCCCTGATCACACTGATCACACTGTATCGACCGCCGAGTCCTCATCCATCATCGTGGAGCCCCAGAGAATCACAGACGGACCACCACCAGCGGAGGGGTCACCAGCGAAGGGACCACCACCAGCGGAGGCGCCACCAGCACAGGCGCCACCAGTGGTGGAGGGGTTATCAGTGGTGGAGGGGCCACCAGCGGAGGGGCCTCCAGCGGAGGGGCCACCAGCGGAGGGGCCTCCAGCGGAGGGGCCACCAGCGGAGGGGCCACCAGCGGAGGGGCCACCAGTCGAGGGGCCGAAAGCGAGCGTGGCTTTGAACCCTACAGTGGGAAACATGCAGAGAGGGCCGCCTCAACCCTCTCCAGCCAAGGGAGCAGAGCAGCAGGAGGACGCACCACAAACCTCCGCAGGCAAGGATGCCCCGGTCCGACTCGAAGCTAGGACGCCCTGTGGTACCTTTCTGCCCTGTTGTTGTGGGTGCTGGGTTTCTTTTTGTAAACACAGGCAGTGACACCTTTTGCAATACCAGCATGGTCGCTGTGCCACCTAGGAAGGGCGGGACGTGGAGGAGCCCTTCGTGCAGGAGTCAGTCCAGCAACGACCGAGCTCAGAGGCAACCCGGTGTCCTGTCAAAGGGCAAGGTGTGAGGGCGGGTGAGCCACGTTGCGTTGAACCCCAACGCCTTTCAAACCCTAAGCTCCGACGGGACCCACAAGGCCCATAAAGCCCTTCAAATTCTACACAACATATATACATATATACATATATACATATATACATATATACATATATACATATATACATATATACATATATACATATATACATATATACATATATACATATATACATATATACATATATACATATATACATATATACATATATGCATATATGCATAAAAACATATATATACATTTTTTACATATATACATATAGACATATATACATATATACATATATACATATATTGTGAAGTCGACCAGCACTGGACTTGCACTAAGCCAATGCAATCACAGCCCGGTCACGCTGTTTTACGACTTCGCGAGTTCAAGCACTTGTGCAGCTACGCCTGAGTGCGTCCGGTCGGACCGCACAGCAACCTAAGAGCTACTGTACGAAACTACCGTGCTCAAAGGCACAAGCTCGGTACTTGAGCCAAAATATTGGCATTGATGCGAATTGCAAAACTCTACATGCAAAGGAAAACTACAAGGTGGTCTGCCGAGTCCTAATGCATCACAGAGCAGAAGATGCATATGCACTCATGTCAGCTCACATTCGCCCCTCAGCCGAGGCTCCGGTGAGTGACTTCCACAAGGAGGGTGGGCGTCCGTCGCGGCTTTGGGCGCAAGCCCGCAAACGAAGACACGCGAAACGAGACGACCCAAACGAGCGACCCTCCTAAACCAGCCTAAACCAGGCGGTCCGGTCTTTTGCACGACCAGAGTCGAGGCTCCAGTACACAGAGCCTACTGAGTGCCTCGGGGACTGCTACGGCAGACACTGAAATCTATGGTACAAATGGTACACTGTACAAACTACCGGCCCTAAGCTACGGCTACGGCTACTCACCTATCCAGAACTACCCTACGGGCTACCGGACTCAGCGAGAGCCGCGCACATCGCTTGTGCCGCAGCCAGTGCAACTCGCACGCGCTTCGGCGAGCGCACTGCCGCGACCAGGACACGGTCCGCAGCACCTGCAAAAGAGCACCCTCGACAAGAGGGGCCACAGGCAGGGCGGAGAAGAAAAGTGCGGGGAATGCAAAATGGGCAGGCTTCCAACCTGCCGCGGCTTTTCGCCCGCAGTCACGCAAAAGAAAGTGCAAAAGGTTGGCGAAGCAACGTGCCGTGCTGCAACGCCTGCTCTGATAATGCGTGGATGCATACCACGCCGCGCCAGCTGGCCGCAGCCTACTCGATACCCTGTGGAGCAGTGTTGGGGGCACGACTGGCGTTGCCAGCAACGTTGGAGCTACTGGCTCGCTCCAACTGAGGGCGCTTTGCAACCGCCTCATCGAGGGAGAATGCCTCAGCCGACACCCTCTGGAAATCCTCGACGTAGGACTGCGCGACAGGGTGCGTCTTGGGGACCTCAAGCTTAAGCCCTGCCTCCGCATTGGCTTTGCTGCTTGTGGTAAAATTGAGGCTCCCAATCAGCACCACCGCGCCGTCAGGCCGCAGTAGGCAAAGGGCCTTGGCATGGTGCAGCCCTTGAATCCCGGTGCCTACCTTAGCCCCGCGGCCGTCGCGAGCGTAGGCGTCGCGCAAGGATGTGCCGCAACCCACCTTCACCTCGGCACCTGCGGCCGCCAAGCGTTTCAACGCTTGCCACTGAAGCTTGGTGCGGTGGCATTGTCCCATGTCGGCGACAATCCGAACGCTTGCGCCCTTGCCAAGCGACGCTTCGATTGCCTCGATGCAGGATGGGCAATCTAAGCTGTAAGCCCGGATGTAGATCACATCCTCTGCTGCTCCAGACCCAAGCAGCGTTTGGGCGGCCTGAATGTATGGCCCGCCCGCAAGGAATTCCGCTTCTTTGACTGGAGAACTCCTAGCGGGGGCTGGGCCCTTGTTCCTCCGGCCTGGCGTGCGCGCCACAATGGCAGTGGCGGCACGTTGCACGGAGCCGGACTGTGCGTGGGCCGCGCTCGCTCCATCTGCTGGGGCCGCGGCCAGGTCACGACCCGCGAGCCCCTGAAAGCAGGAGAGCCCGCGGCTCTTGGCCGCCAGTTGGGAGAAACATCCTTCACTGTTTCCCAAACCCAACACAACCCTACCCTTAGCCAGGGTTTCGGAGGCGGTACTCCGAATGGAGTCTGTGAGCGCAGGACCCGCGCCTCGCTGGGCCGCGTGCAAAAACCCTAAGGAACGAGCGGTGTCCATTGCGGCATCGCAATGCCCGCAGCGTCCTTCTGCCAGGTAAGCACGACAGCCACAGGCAGCTGTCTCCTCCTTGAGGTGCACCCAAACCTTATGGGTCACCCCTTTCTTGGAGCTCGCGACCTCAAACGTCGCTTCAGAGCCAAGGAGTTGAGACAGCCGCGCCTCAGGGGCCGCGGTGTTGCCATGTCGCAAATGCGCAATGCGATTGGCAACGGCACGACTCACGTACCACAGAACAGCACCGCACAAGATCACTACCACGAGAGTGATGGCTGTTCCGGCGACCCACACGGCCCGCCTCGCCCCGTGACCGATTTCCTCGACCACGTCGGCCGAAATCGTTGCAACCGCGTGCATAGAGTCCTCGACAACATGCACAGCCCCGCGGTGCAACTGCAAGGCAATCGGCGCCGACGCTGCAGCCGCCAGGCCCCACCAGCCGTTGATGTTCCCGTTGAGGGCGTGCATCAACCGATTGAGGAGCCCGCGACCCAGGAAGAAGGGGGTCCGCGGCGGAAGCGGAACACTCGGCGGTGGCCGGGCCGACCCGCACGGGACGGCTGGGACCCAGCTTGTGCTTGGGCGGGGCTGGAACGCGGCAACTATGCCCGCGGCGTAAGCGCCCCAGGCGTACTTGCCCCTCCCCTTGGGCTTGCCCTTGGCATCGGACTTGCCTCTGCCCTTCGGCTTACCCTGGCCCTTGCCACGGGCGTCTGCCCAAGCACTCCACGGGTCGCGGCCCTTCCCGTACGTCGCCTCCTCGCGACGTCTCTTGCCGCCCCTCTTCTTGTGTTTGCTTCTAAGAAGAGGCTGGATCGTTTCCTGATCCATCGCGCGATTAGCCAGAAGGATCTCGTACTCCAGCTCGTCCTGGCTGCTCTCGGAGCCCGAGTCCCTCTCTTCGCCGCGCCGCGGATCCGGGATCCCGCGGGAAACGACCTCTGCCAAGCGGAGGGGCGTGCTGCACCTAAAGCACAGCTGCCTGAATGAAAGGTTCCATTCATAGCAGTTAGGGCACTGCCACCCTGCTATGCGGAGCGCTTCGCTGATGTGATCATCGCGCTCCGCCTTCTCCGCCTGGCGCCGCTCCCGCTTCTTGGCGCGCTCGGCCGCCTGCGCCTCCTCGGCCGCCTGGAGGGCTTCAGCGAGTTCCTCATCGCTGAGGAGCCTCGCGGCATCTGCCCGCGCTTGTTGGTCTTCAAGCTCTTCGGCAGAAAACCTCCGCCGCCATTGCTCCGGCGCGGTTTGGGGATCCACCTCCCACCACCCGATGTCGATCCCATTGATCCATCGGCCGTCGCACGGGGCGCCCGCATTCGGGCCGCCCGCGTGCGTGGTGAGGCACTGGTCCTCGGTAACCGGGTTGATGGCTTCGCAGAAGAAGCACCGCCAGCTGCCGTAGGGGTAAAAGCGGCCTTCGACATAGGCTCGGTTGGCTGGGAGGGCGACCTCGTCCGCCTCATCCGCGGTGGCTGCCTCCAGACCTCTTCGTCCTTGACGACCTCAGCCTCCTCCTCCTGTTCCTCCTTGGCCAGGTCTTCTCGCTCCCGGCCGACGTTGAGGTGGGACTCAGTGCGAACCTCGGCGCGCAAAATGACGTCAAGGCTATCCGCGGCTGGGTCGCCCGCGAAGAAGGAGTCGATCTCCTTGGCATGGAGATCGTCAAGAGGCGTCACCAGGTCCGGCGAGTAATCTCGCTTGGAGCGACGCTCAGCCAGGCGTCGCTGGACGTCGCCCTTCGGCGGCTCGAGGGCCCGCCCGCGCGGAGCGGCCTTCCGCGGAGGCTCGGGCTCGGCCTCCTCCGTGGGCTCGCTCTTGGGCGTGGACCCTCCATCGCTTCCCTCTGGAGCACCAGGGGGGTCCAGCTCGGGGTCGTCGCGAAGCCACCCCGGCGGATGGCTACCACATCTCAAGCTGGATTCGGTCCCCTCGCCTCAGGAGCGGGACTCTCGAGTGATCGTACCCGTTGGCTTTGTGGTACCTAATCACTTGGAGCATGGGCACCTCCCCATACCCGCCGTCCTTTCCTCGGCGGAACAGCCGTCCCCGCCAGTCCTGACGAAAAGGGTCAAGAGGTGCGGAGGGGCTGATCCCCAGGTTGGGCGGAAGAGAGGCGCCATGACAGGCCGCCTGATGCAAGTGGTACTGCACCAGCGACTCAAAGGCTAGCCCGCATCCCGGAGCCGAACATCCGTAGTGGCCGTCAGCGTTGGGGCGAGGCTCCTCTGAGGCTGAGGCGGACTGGGCGGTCCCGCCTCCCGAAGGCCTAGCGGAACTGCTCGACCCCGCAGCCCCGGGGGCGTCCTGACCATCGTCAGACACCTCTTCCCCGTCGGCGCCTTTCCCGGCCGCCCGACTCTCTCCCTCTCGGCGCAGCGTTTTGAGGGACTCCTCACGCTTGGTGATCTTCTCCAGCTTCACCATCGCAGTTCCCGCAACCTCCAGTATTCTCGACTGGAGCTTCTGCGCTCTAAGAAGAGCTTCGGACCGCGCGAGGTATTCCTTCGCGCTGGTGACCACAGACTGGCCGAGCACGAGGACTCCTTCCTCTGTGCTCTCGGCCTTGGCCCCACTTGCGGGCTCCTCGTCCTCCTTCACTTTGACCGCGGCTGGAGGCGCCCGCGTGTCGGGAAGATCCGAGCTGGAACTATCTTCCTCGACACCTTCAGCTTCTTGGGCTGCCTCTTCCTCGAGCGAGTCCTCGGGCTCGAGGACATTGGGGCCCGGGACGTTGCGCCTAGGGTACACCTTGGGCTTC